GTATCAGGCCTGGCTGATGTGGCTTAGTTGGTTGGGTTCCATCCCACGCACTGAAAGGTTGCTGGTTCGAGTCCCAGTCAGGGCCGGTTCCCAGGTTTCACGCTCTATCCCAGGTAAGGGCCATGCAAGAGGCAGCCAATGGATGTTTCTCACATCGATGTTTCTCTCCCTCTCCCTTCCTCTCTCTCTAAAAGTTAGTTAAAAATCTTTTTAAAAAAAGGACTGTACCCAAACTTTCTTATTTTCCATCAGAATGATACATAATAATCCTGCTTCTTTGGCTCTTTCCCTTTAAACACAGAGTGCACACTTCCACCCAACAGTAAATATTCCATAGCTCAGAGTTGTAACAGGCTAGATAAGGTGCTATCCTGACAGCAGCCACCTTCTCTGTCTGCTGGTTTCTATGATGCTTCTGAATCTGTCAGGGCAGAAACTTCGTCTTAGAAACCAATCTCTGTTTCATCTTGTGCGTGTTCAGTGATGCCTTTCTTGGCGATGAGCTATAGTTATATCTCAGATCTACATTTTAAAATTTCACTTTCAAATCATGTGGCCCTGTGTCTAAAAGTAGAATGTCGACTTGAACATTGTCAGAGTTGAAGTTCTGAAGAAAGGAAAAATGGGGTTTGGCATTGCTCTCTTGAGCCCGTCCTGTCTCGGTGACAGTATTTAGAGAAACTGGAAAGTACAGTATGTAGCTCTCTGGTTAAAAAGATTGTGGGGAAGAGTATGAAAAAGGAAAACTCACCCGAGGTATTTCTGACCTAATTGGAAAAACTTAATTTCACTGAGCTCCATTCTTAAGCCTTTCTGCCACTCTTATTTAGCATCTTCCTTTGCTCTCTAGACAGCTCTGAAGTCTGTGCCTGCACAAGCATGGTAGTGTGAAAAGAGCACAGACCCGGGTTGGAATCCCAGGTCCACCACCCGTTAGTCTTGAGAGGGTTGCTCTGCTTGAGTCAGTTTCCTCATCTACAATGAGGGTGATAATCCTTACCTCCCAAACTTGTGAGAAGAAAGGGAGTAGATACATGAGAAGCGCTGAGCACTAGCCTGACACTTGGTAAGCCCTCAGTAAACACAAGCTGCTCCTCCTGGCAATGGGGGCAATGGTTACTAGTCAGGCTGCCTCACACCACGCCTGGTGTGTAGTAATAAATGCAAAATAATGTGACCTGTTGCTAGCTAGGCTCTGATAAGCAAAATTATATACTTTATTCTATTCCTCCTCTCTTTTAGAGATAGTGATATTCCGTTGTTCTCTCCTACCTTGGCAAACTTGACTTTTCTTTGCCTTTATCCCTGCTATTATTCCCGCTGCTTGGAATGTTGTCTCCACCTTTTAAACTCCTTTAGAATGCAGCTCAAATGTTACATGTCTCTTGAACTCTCCTGACTTCCCCAGACAGACTCAGTCTGTCCTTCTTGTGGATTCCCATGGCACACAGTTTGAGAAGACCTTTGTAAGAGCCATTATTTCATTTTTTTAAAAAACCATTTGTTCATATTTGTGAATCTCATTAGACTATAATCTCCTTGATTAGGTGAACTGTTTATTTATCTTTGCTGCCCCCAGTCCATCATATAGTACCTGGGCCATAGTTAGGTGTTCAGGATATCTTTCTCAGGTAGGTGAATGAATGTGTTCCACTCCAAGTTCCCATGTTTGCACACCTCTAAGGATTTCATTTCTCCTCCCTTCCACTTCCTTCCTGTCGACTTCTTTTCTCTCCCCTCCCCTCCCTTCCCCTCCCCACTTCCCCATCTGATCTACTTCTCACATAGATTGCTATTGTGGCCCCTGCCTGCTTCTCAATGCTTTACACCATCATACAGGTTGCATGTTCTTGTTCATGACATTTCTCCTACACAGTGTAGTCTGCTCCCATCATGTCTCACTTCTCTGGCCAGCATTTCAGCCACCCACCAGCGAGCCATCAAAGGCATGTCCCTCACAGTTTCCTGACACTTCCCCTTCTCCCCATCCACACGAGTCAGCAGCACAGCTCATTAAATAGTGCTGAGCTTCTGCTGTCAGCCCTGCTTAACAGACTCTTTCCAAGAGGCCACTATGTAAAAAGTGCCATGCAAGGTGCTTTCTAGAGCACAGGTGTGAGTGAAACACCTCGTGTTTCCAGGGAGCCAGCACAGGAAAGAGGCACACGTGTGAACAGCTGTCACAAGGTAGGCCCTTGGAGCTGCCATAACAGAGGTACCAATCGGAGGCTTGGGAGTTTTAAGGATTGGAAATCACATTTAGTTGAAACTCTGAAAATATTTCAAAGATCTCCGGAAAAGTTTTATAAGGAATATCACATTTTAGGCTTATATTATGGTAGAGATTGGGGGGAGAATATCAACATTACAAACAAAGGTGAGGAGGCCAAAAAACAGAGGGCAGGCCTGTGTGTGCTGTGTGTGTATGAGTGGGGGACTGGTGAGCAGAAATTATGTACAGCATAAGGCATTTTGCACAAGGCCTCAGGGAGGCCTTCATTCTTAAGGCATTCATTTGGCTGTCTGCCTATCAGGCGCCTTGAAACCTTACCCACAAGTCACTTCTTCCCAGATACCTTGACCTCTTAACCAACCCTGATCATCACCCACTTGTAATTATTTGTAACTTGTGGGTGCACTGTATGTATCCCTTTACTTTTTGGTCATTTCCTGTGTTTCTCCCCAGACAGACATTCAGCTGCTTGGTGATTAAGACCAGGACATCTCCTTATCTCCATTTTTCTTCTTTTTCTGCCTTATCTCAATGATTAGAAAGGTGTCCTTGCCTACCAGGCACTAAGCAAGACCTCGATCTGAACACTTGCTTCATGTTATCCATGTCTCCCTCAGAGATAAACCAAACAGGATTCCTGTCCCCAGAGTGTTCATATTCTGGTATCTGGTAATTAATTATGTACTTACAAGCAACTTGTCCTCTGTGTGTCTTCTGATTTGTACAATGGGATTAATAAACCCTTCCCTGCTCTCTTTAAATTTGGTAGTAAGGACCATGTATATAATAACACTTAAACTCTACAGCATTATAGAAATGTAAATTGTTAGCACCAAATGCTTTTTGCATGAGTGGAAGTCAGGAGTAATTTTCCTTCCTGTGCGCCCAGCCGCTGACCACATAGGAGTCTGAGCAGGACATTATGATTATGAGTAAATGAGAAACTAAAGAGGCTCTCCTATTTTTAAACTCCTTGGACACTGGTCCAGTGCTAGCTTATGGACGCAGTCATGACCACTCCGTGAACATTAACACTATTACCAGATGACCAAGGAATTTGCTCCTAAATGAAGCTCGGAATTCGTGGTAGTGACCTCCGGTGCAGGGCCTGGCCAGTCCTCAGCCCTCTTTTGCCTCATAGACAGAGGCCTTTAGGAGCAGGATGAAAAGTAGCCTTGTGTTGCTACAGGCTGGCCCCCTGGGCAAATAAGAAAGTGCATTGTCTGCGTCTAAATAGTCTAGAAGGATTCTTGTTGGAGATTGATGATCACCGTGGTAAGTCCTTCGAGTTTGGGAGAGTGGAAAGCAGAGTCCCAAGGGCTTCTGTCAGTGACAGGAGTCTGAATTGTCAGAGGGAACCATGGCCATAAAACTCCTGACAGAATTAAGAAATGGATGGTTGTCATCAGGAGCTTGAATTAAGCACCTCTCGTCTTGGGACGGTCTGTGAGTCGTGCAGGTGCCCCTCACCCAGCTCTTCCTTCTGAAAGCTGACAGCCCAGACGGGGATGTCTTTCCTTTCATTCACAGCGTGGGTGTTTACTGAGCTGGGATACAAAGACAGAATTCAGTACCTACTTTCACAGAGCTCACCGTCTACCTTACTAAAGGGAGTTATAGAAGGAGGAAGTTGGTGATGCTGAAACCAGTGTGAATATGATGCACAAGAAGAGGTCATGTGAAGTGGCTTGTCGAGGGTGCTCTCAGGAATTACAGGGAGGAGGAGTTGTTGGCCCTAAATAATCAGGAAAGGCTTTGAGGTAGAGGTTATTTAAAAACAGTGTTGGCTCGAGAGAGAGCCCAGAATCCCTGGGAGGCAGTAAAGGCCCTGAGATGGGGAGAAGAGCTCTCCCAGCAGAGGTGGTCATACTCTACTACATAAGGGGCTCTAACGGGAAGGAAGGGGAGATGAAATGTCCGATGATGACTGTGATGATGGTTGCACAACTCTGAATATACTCGTAGCCATTAAAGGGTACACTTTCAGTGGGTGAATCATAGGGTGTATGAATTATTTCTCAAAGTTGTTTTTTTGTGTTTTTTTTTAATCTAGAGAGGAATCAATTTGGGGACAGCAAGTCTAATAGGTCTGGAGTAAGAAAGGTTTAGGAAAGAGACTCCCGTCACTTACGGTATTAGGGCTCTAGCCTAAAGGAGTGTTGGACTGTGGAATGAGATGGACAGGTTGGCAGAATTTGCATCTGACACAATGTCAGCCCAAAGTAGCACATATATGTAAGTTGGGTGCCTGTACCGTTGGTTTCACCAGGGTCCCAAGGCAGAGTTGTGGAGAAAGGGGACCTCTCTTCTCTATGTTTAGCTTAATTTAGAAGAGAAAGGGAGTTAAGTATATCTTGTAGAGGTTATTTATGGAGGCCAGAACCTAAGAGGAAAGAATGGGTAGAAACAGATAAGTAGCTTACATTTGTGTCCCTGTCAGCTTGTTGTTGTTGTTTTGTTTGTTTGGTTGGTTGGTTGGTAGGTGTTTTTTTTTTAGGTTAAGTATGTGGACGATATCATTTTGTTCTTGACTCATCATATAGAAAAAAATGGGCTTTACTCCTTTCTCTCTGGGCCTCTAGTCCATTAACAATGAGCATAAGAAAGGTGTTAGAATAATCAGAGGTAAATCAAGGTGGAGTGGTTTTCTTTTGTTACTGTTGTTGTAGATGCTATTCTTTTGTGTATTACGGGGAGACTAGAAGCCTATTCTTTCCCAGGCTGCTCACCATCCAGCTTCAGTTTCCAAATGTTCATTCATTTTCAGGACATGGTCCGGCGAGGGGAAATCATAGACAACGACTCCGAAGATGAGTTCTACCTCCGGCGCTTGGACGCAGGGCTCTTTGTCCTCCAGCACATCTGCTACATCATGGCGGAGATCTGCAATGCCAACGTCCCCCAGGTAGGAGGGGCTCCCCTGGATGGGCCTGTCCATCGCTGCCACCTTCCTCAGCAGCTGCCTAGCTAGAGACTCTCAAAAAAGAAGTGGATCACACTCTCCTTGAATTCCTTCACTCTGTGTGGGCCTTCACTCTTTTCAGGGATGGGGGTGGGGTGAATACTCTCAATATGGTGTATTCTGGTGTCTTCTAGGACAAATGATACTTTTTCTTTCTCTCCTACTCTTCCCCTTCCTTACTAGATTCGGCAGAGGGTTCATCAGATCTTAAACATGAGAGGAAGCTCCATCAAAATTGTCAGGCACATCATCAAGGGTGAGTTGGCCATTGCTGTGCCTGGGGCTCCGGGGAATTCTGTGCTTCCTTTCTGAGTCTGTGTCAGTATCCCTGGGATTTGGTGCACAACATTCTCTGCCCGGCAACCTTAGTGTGTTGTCCAGTTCACTGTGTGTCCAGGCCAGCGTTGTCAGAATACCATGGACTAACCTAGTTATTCTCTGCCTCTGACCCTCCAGTTCCAGAATTTAAAAAACACGTAGCAAACAAGAAGCACTAGAGATTGGAAACATTTGCTTGTTTGTTTTGTAAGAAAGATAAAACAAGAAAGAAAAAATTTCCTTCCAAACTGCATGTAGTAGAAGGAAATTGCTTTCTTGGGGCAGGGGGATAACACCAGAAAGTAACAAGAAATACTTGGAATTACGCAGGACAGAAGGAAGTGAATTTGAGGTGGTGCCCTTACCTTCCAGTCTCAGCTGTGCCTTCCCCAGCTGTGAGCGTGGTCCAGAATAAATGTTGCAGAGGTTCAGAAAATACTACATGACAGCGTCCAGCCTAGTGCCCGGCACACAGAAAGGGCTCCATCGGGCGAGTTTTCCTTTTTCCCCACCTACCCCAGGGAGGCCCTCAAACACTGTTGCATCTTTGGCTGGACCTGACTCAGCGGCTTAGTCACAAGACAGGACGCCTGACCTGAGCTCTGGGATGTATCCCACCCTCAGCCTCTTAGCACAGACTAATACACATGGCGGTGGAGGCCGAGTTGGACTTTATAGTACTGATAACACCAGAGTGCAGGAGTCATGATGGATTGAGTAAAAGCAGGCAAACCATTTTCTCTCTCTGGCCCTTGTTCTGCGCATTTCTAAGATGAGGGACTAGGCTAGATGTACTCAAAGGGTTTGCCTGTAAGTAGCTTATAATTCCCATTACAGGTGGGAGATGAAATGTGATGAGAAGTTAAGAACCTTGGGATCTGGCTCCTAGAACTGAATACTGGCTCTGCTATTTACTGTGTTGCCTCGGGCAACTTACCCAGTTGCTCTGTGACCTCATAAAATGGGTGAGAGGATTAAATGAGATAATATATGGAAAAGTCCTCAGTAAACACTAGCTGTAATGAGTAATATGAAATATTGTGATAATTATCATCGTCATTATTATAAGTGAGGCATGGCTAAAATCCCATGGGAAGCCTTGTGAGAGTAGTAGCATTGAGCTGGGTCTTAGAGGCTGGGGCAAGTCCTGGAAGGTAGGAACAGTATGAGTGGAGGCATGGGGATTGGAAATTACGTGCTCTGTGCAGCCATCCCACGCAGGTGGGAATGGTGAATGGATGTGCCCATTTTGCAGATGGAGAAGATGAGGCATTGGGAGTCTTTTGTTTTCTCCCTCAGAGAAAGAGGAAAGGCGGAACCCCTTCATGAACCTAGCCTAGTATCTTACCTTCCATGGAGGCTTTCTGGGTGTGCCCTTCTCATTCTCAGTGTCACATTCACATGAATTAACTGCTCAGAGTGTCATGCCACCTCCTCCCTAGGGTGTAGCTGCAGTGATTTGCAACTCCAGCCTTTCAATGCCATTTTCTTTTTACACCCACACGTTCAATTAGAACTTTTTATTACTCGCAGCTCTACTCTCTCGTGTTTAGGCTTCTCCCTGCACCTCCAACCCTGTAATCACAACAATGATCTGAGCAAGAATGGGTCTTTAATGGGTGCTGACTTGTAGTGGGTGGATGTTTTTCTTTCTGAAATCCTACCACATATAACAGTATACCTCAGGTTACCCAGAATTTTCAGTTGTGAGCCAGCCTTTGTCTCGTTCAGGTCATGGTTTATTCCCCCAGTGCCTTTTAAAGGGCCGGCACATCCTGGAGGCTGAATAAATATTTATTGACAGAGGGTCTGTGCAAGTGACCAGGAGAGTGGCCTGCACAGAAGCCATGTTTGTTCCCCCCACTCCTGTTCCTCTCTCCTGTTACCTTCTTTCCCCTCCTCTGTCCAGACCCTCAGTTTTCTCTCCATCACCCTTCACAGCTAACCCACCGTCACGCTGCCTATTCTGCTTCTAAACTCCATCTCGAATCCATCCACTTCTCTCCATATGCTATTTCCCATCATAGCACCCAGTTTGCTTCCTTTCTAGCCCTTATCACAGTCAGTGATTGTTTTTATTTATGTCTTTGTTTACTCATTTTGTGTGTCATACATTTAAAATGTAAGCTACACGATGTAGGGGCGTTGGCTTGTTCACGTTTCCTCAGCACCCAGGGCAATGCCAGGCACATAATGGGAACCCAGCGAATATTTCAAACATCGTTGAATAAACCCTACCTTTTGTGAATTTAAATTGGCAAATGTTGACTGAGACTTCTCAGGGCAAGCAGTTTTACGGACTGGGGTACTAAGGTATCACTCAGCACCTGCCCTCACGGAGTTCATCGTCTCCTAGGGGATCTAGATATAGAAGCGACCAACCATAACTCAAGCTGAATGACATACACGTTCCCACAACTGCTCAGCCATCATTGTTGGTGCCCGCCACTATATCCAGTCCTAGAGATACAGAGAAGGATGAGTAAGAACCCTGTCCTTGAGGCATTCACAGTCTAGTGGGGAAAGATACTCTAATTGTGAAGTGGTAAGTGCTGTGTGGAAGTCATGAACAGTGTGCTCAGGGTTGGGAAGGAGGTGGTAATGCAGGCACAGGCCAGGCCATGGATCCCTGGTGAAAGGTTCCTCGAGGCAGGACAGGACATCAGTGGCCTTGGTAAGGACTCTGGCCATACCAGCAGGGGCTGCAGCATTGGGTGGGTTGGGAGTGTTGCTTGGCAAGGCTCTTGAGTTCTGTTGGGTCCACAGTGATTTTGGGGGCACAGGTAGTGACTACAGCAGACAGTACACATTCTCATTGGGGCTCAAGACAGATGCTAGTTTGGGCAATTTGAAGTCATTAGTGTGGAGGTGATATGTAAAGCCAGGGAATTGGATGCCATTGCACAATCAAAGAGGCCCTCCCAGGACAGTGACCACTAAAGAAAAAGTTCTCTCCAGATGGAAGGTTAAGGCAAGGGTTCTCCCTTCTGCTGGCATGCCCCTGCCCTGGCTCACCCCGGCCTCAGGGACGACTCTGCAGTGCCTGGTGGTGGATCTGTGCAGCCTCTGAGCGGGAGCACCTGGGCCGGGAGGAGGTGGAAGCAGGGGTGAGGCTGCCGGGGTTGGCGCCCATGCTGCACTCCAGCCTCCTCTTAGAAAGCTTTCACTCCCTCCCCCTCCTTCCTCCACCCTTCATTCCATCAAAAAGCACAGAGCCTCATAAAGAAAACCAGCTCATCAGTCTGTCCTCTTTGATTTTAATTTTGTTTTTCAGTTTGGGTTGCTTCTTTTTTTTTTTTTTTACATACTAATTAGATGCAAGCCTCTTTCTTTGATTTTATGGCCTATATATTTCCTAAGTTTTGCTGGCAAGATGACAGCTGATGTATCCCTTGAGGTCTCAGGAAAACGCTGATGAGGCAAGCCCAGCAGGGGCCTTTTCCTGTTATATATATTTGGGTCCCCTTTCTCAAGATTTCCTCCCTCCTTATCTGTAGGGGGTGCTAAGGGAACCGGGAATAATTGATGGCTCAGTGAAGTCCCTCTTTATGCCGACTGCTTGCTCGGTGTTTCCTAAGCCCAGCCTCCCCGGGACTGGTAGCCACTCTGGGCCTGAGGACCTGTGGTGCCCGTGTAGGGACGAGTGGGTCTTCGCTAGAGGAGCGGGTCAGACTGAGGGCTCCACAGGAGGTGCCTTTTGTCTCCTGGTGCCTGGCCTGCGGCTGGCTCGGAGAAGGGACCCAGTTTGTGCTTGCAGGGTGCGTGCTCACAGAGCTCCAGGCTCTTGTGCTTGTTCCAGAAATCATACCACAGCCGGGAGAGGGGGGAGAGGGGTCACTGCCGAGCACACCCTCTGTGCGGCTTCCCATGTGGCACATTCTCTGGTTCTCACAACAACCCTAAGAAGCAGGTCACACTCTCCATTTACAGAGAAGGAAACCGAGACTCGCAGAGGCTAGGGGAGGCGGGACATTGCCCAAGTCACTCTTCACGTTGGAACGGGGTCCAGATGCAGAGCTGTACGCAGTCGCTGTTCCATCTGGCAGGAAGGAACGTTGTGTCAACTGGCTGGTAAACTCCTACAGCCTTTGAGAACAAAAAGTCGGGGCGTTTACCTTTACAGAGCGCCCACTTGGCATCCCAGGCTGCCAGGTGGGCATCTAACACACGAATGAGACTTAGGAGGCCCTGTCCCGGGGAGATCCAGTCCCATCAGAGGTGAAGTAATCACAACACGAAGCAGAATGAAGCCAGTGCTGCTGTGTGGAGTGGAATCAGGAGGCAGTTGATTCTGCAGGAGGAAAAGGAGCTGGAGTGCTACACAGAGGAGGCACTCTCTTTTTCTTTTTTAAATTGTGGTAAAATATACACAAGACTTACCATTTTAACCATTGCAGCCATCACCACCATCTACCCCCAGGACCCACTTTCATCTGTGCCCGTTAGACGCGCACTCCCTAGTCCTTCCTCCCCAGCCCCTCGCAGCCACCCTGTGCGCTGTCTCTGTGAAGCCACGGACTGAGTCAGGTGGGGCTGCTCACAGCAGATGCAGAAACTGAGTGGTCATCTCCTTGGACATGGAGCAGGGCCTGCAACCTGGGCATACTTGTTAGTATAAGTCCTTGTGCCAAGAGTTACCTACCTTCTCTTAAATGAGTTTAGTCACGGGTGAACGTTGTGGAGAGGATGTGTAGGTGCAGGGCTGTTTTGCAGAGGAAAGCTTGGAGGATTACTGGCTCCAGACTTCCACTGGTGACAGAAAGACTGAGCCGAAGACTTCAAAATGCTTTCAGAAATTGGCTGCTGGCCCTTTGATTTGCTTGTGTTCTTTATGGCTTGAAATCTCTTAGAAGCTCATAAACAAGTATTTCCATATTGATTTGGGGCTGTTGGTAACCTGAGCTTTTTTCTCTGTGATCTTAAAGTTGCAGAAGCTGA